TCTTTACTACCTTTCCTCCTGTTACCATACAGAGCATTACTCTCCTCCATCTGAAGCAAATCTCTCCAGTCTGGAGCCTGGGTCCCATTCCTCACATCTTTTCACAAACCTCATTTTCTCAATTATTCCAAAGGCTGTAAAACAATGTTTGTGGCCAGCCAATATATCTTATGTCTGACTCACATAGGTTTTTTTCCCTATTATTTTTATTCTACTTAACATAAGGAAAAATGGAAGGTAAAATCCATCTTTTTCAGTGTATAATTCCACCAGTTTTGACCAATACATACATTTCTGTGTATACTCCCATCACAATCAATAACAGTTCTACCATCCCTGAGAACTTCCCAGAGCCTCAGGCCAACATATAGAAGGAAACTGTATTCTCTAGTCTCTCACAATTCTTGCTGTTTTCTCTGTTCCTTATATCCCACTGTTTCATTCATTTAGGCTACCTACCTGGTTCCTAGGACATTTGAATTTGAGTTGCCTGGATTATTCATGTTCATTCCTGCGTTTTTTTAGCCAATCCTGTTCTACTCATTCTTTCCTATCAACACCTAAAAATGCTACCCTTCCCTCACAATCAAACTTCCTCAGTTGTTATTTGGGGATAACCTTGCTCAAATTCTCCATTTTTATCAAATTCTCCTGATACTTGCCAGAAAGGAAAGACATTTTTTTCTTTAAAAAAATTTTTTAAATTTTATTTATTTATTTTTAGAGAGACAGGAAAGAAGGTAGAAAGAGAGGGAGAAAAACACCAGTGTGTGAGAGATACATTGATCAGTTATCTCTTGCACACCCCCAGTTGGGGACCTGGCCCTACAACCCAGGCATGTGCCTTGATTGGGAATTGAACCGGCAACCTTTGGGTTCACAGGCTGGCACTCAATACACTGAGCCACACCAGCCAGGGTAGTGTTTTTTCGATTTTTGTTGGGGGGGGGAAAAAAAAACACCAACAAACCAAATAGCAAGTAAAATCTTTTGTATCTTTTTCAGATGATAAAGTTCTCATGTTGCTACAATGTAACATTGCTTTGGAATTTTGGTAAGAAATTTCTGTCCAAATCATGCCAACTTGCTCTTTCATGTTAAAAGTACAAATAGTGCAAGATCTTCCCACCAACATGGCTGTGAATGAGGCAAAGAGTTTAGATCCAATATTATATCCACAGATAAGTTCTGCCTCCATTGTCTCTGAAGGAATCACTCAGTATAAGAAACCTTGTGTATCTTTTCTCCCACAGTGAGAGATCCAGATCCACTTGGCCATTTCGGAAAGGAAAAAAAAAACACAATCTCATTCACGGAGGGTTGGGTAATATTTAAATATTATTGAATATTGTTTTGAGTAGAAAATAAAGAGACAGTGAAAAAATTCCCTTCTACTGGCCTCTCTGACTTTTTGGTTCTGAAATTCTCCCTTTATCCCCGCCCCCCCGCCTTCACTGATGTTTTTAAAAGAACAAGAATGAAGCCTGGCAAAAGGAAAGGAAGTCAATCCCAACTCTGTCCACATTCACTATGTCCAACTCCTCTCTTCCCCTGCAGTCCTCAACTCTCTCCAACACCTACCTGTTCCTCTCCCACCACCGTACCACCTAAATCTCTCTCCCTAAGTCATTCAATACTTACAAAATGAAGGAAGGAAGGAGTGAAAGTAGTAGCAGAAATTGTGACACAGTATTAATGAGGCCCTTAAGGTTGACCAAGTAGAATTTCTTTGATTAACCTGGGTACTAATATTGTGGTTACTTTTGGAGAAACCTCTTTTCCCATTTAAGCCCCAAAGTGAAAATGGAAGGGTTGAAATAAATAAATAATTTTTGAGATGTAAAAGCTCATTTTTACAAGGCAAAAGTCATTACACAAGGCTATATTTTCAAGTAGGATGGCAAATTGTTTTATATGGACGTTCTCCATTGAACAAGTTCTGTCTTTAAGAAGCAGTATGATTGTTGTAGTTCTTTGCACAGACCCACCTTTTGCAATGATGTCCGGGATGCAGGCTCTGCTCCTGCTTGCCCTGGGCTTGCTTTTCTCTGGACCTGAGGCCCTCGCAAAGGTCTTAATGAAACAGTCATTCCAGCTGGATCAGTAGCTTTTCCTGGGAGAACCGTGATGAGCGGAAGGACCCTGTGCTGACCAAAAGCCTGAGTGTGGCGCCTAACCCCTCTGTGGGTCCTGGGACTGTGACTGTCAGTGCTGAGACCCAGACGCATGTAACCCCATTCTACTCTGAAGGTGGAATTAACTGCAGAAGGAAATGGCTGGCTTGTGGGTCAAAGTCCCGCGTGTGGAACAAATTGACAACTGTACCTGTGAAGACATCTGTGACATAGTTGACATTTTCCTTCCCCCTGGAGAGCCCTGCCCAGAACCCCTGCATACCTGTGGGCTTCCCTGCCACTGTCCCTTCAAAGAAGGCAAACACTCACTGCCCAAGAGTTTTCACCCTACCCCACCTGGACCTGTCGGGACCAGGAAACTACCAAATCCAGAACATCCTAAGCAGCGGGGAGGAACGCCTGGGCTGTTTTAAGATCGATGTCTCTGTAGAGGCCATATAATGTGACACCAGCTACAGCAGAATGAAGGGGTGTGAGGAAGGTGTCTTTCTTCTTCTGTCTTGTGTTTGTCAAGGCCAAATTCTGATTTTTCTGTACCCCTTCCAGCCCTTTTATACAGTGATGCCACTACCCTCACTGAAAATCACTGTGCCACTTACATTTCAGGTGTGGGCAAGCAGCCCTAACCTAAGGTACAGAGAGCTTGGTGATTCTTGAGAACTCAGGACCTCTACGGGGCTGGCCACTCGGTTTTCCTCCTCACCGCTACAGCTTTCCATCTAAGAGCATAACTCATTTTCTGGACAGTCAAGGAATAGGATGAATACATTTTGTGACCCATGTTCAGACTGACCCAGTCTTGTTCTCCTGAGCAATTAAATTTTTTTGGTCATTAACTTAAAAAAAAGATACAGTATGATTGTAACTATAGAAAAAAATGACCTCAGTAAAGACAAAATAACAGGAAGGACATTTATCAAAGTGTATACTCCACTCTACCACTTATAAAAGTCTATGTTAAAAAATATTTTTAGCCCTGGATGGTGTGGCTCAGATTACTGGCCTGCAAACCACAGGGTCACTGGTTCAATTCCCATTCAGGGCACATACCTGGGTTGCGGGCCAGGTCCCCAGTAGGGGCCACACAAAAGGCAACTACACATTGATGTTTCTCCCCCTCTCTTTTTCCCTCCCTTCCTCTCTCTCTAAAAATAAATAAATAAAATCTTAATGAAAATATTCTTAATGTAAATTAGAAATTATGTTACAAAGAGCTGTTTTGTTTTTTTTTTAAATCTGTCTTCATAAAAAGGGCATCTATTTCTACTACTAGGGATTCTTGCACCAGTACTGAAAGGATAGAGCAGTTCTATTTGCTATCATGGCACCATTTGCTGAGCAGGCCTATGACCTTGTTAAACCTGACTGCCATTTTACTCTTCTGAGCTTCTGTCCCCAGGACTAGAAATTACTGGAAGCAAGAACGGAACAGCCACAGGCAGAGGATGACACTGGAACAAACTGCAGCCACCTGTTACAACCCCCCAACAGCCCAAGGGCTACACAAGGGCAACCCCCACCCATTTTTAATCCCATTATGAGCCAATAAAAGCTCAAAGCCCCCACCCTGCAATGCTGGCGTATCTCTCTACACCATACCCCTCTCCTTCTTGGAGAGTGAATAAAAACTTTATTCTCTACACTTTCTTCACTCTGTGAATTCTTTCACAGTCTGCATCACCAACCACCCTAACAAGTACCCAAAATGTTATTTTTCTGAGGTAAGGTACAGTAATTTTGATAAACATAAAGCCCACAAGGTACTCAGTAAGCATTTAGTAATAAACTAATTTAATGCATCCAACTGAGGACCATTTCCTAAATATATTCAACACATGAAAAGGCAGATGTGACAGAAAGCTTTGATTACAATGGGTGCAGACATTTTCTCTATGAGTCACATAAGGAATTGGGCACCTCTTACACACCTTTGACAATGAGCAGTAAATGTGTAAATAGCCTTATGTTTTCTCTGTAGCGCTATTCTTTTACCGATCTAAATTCTTCTTCCAGGAGGGTTGACTGGATACTTCTGCTTCTGTCTTTAAACTGTGAATCTCATAACAGACACTTGTCCAGATCTCCAGCCACGGTCCTCCCTTTTCTCACTTTCTCTTAATAATATTTTTTTCCTCCCTGATTTTTTTCCTCTCCCAATGAGGATTTTTTTTTTAGCTCAGAAAAGTTGAAGTAAGGAAACCACAATCATTCACAATCTCACTGCTCTTAGAGAATCACAGTTTATACTTTCTTCCATCTGTTAAAAATGGGTCTATCTATATAAATAACATTTTTTTCCTCCTTGAGATAAGCTGCTCTGTTTCTGTATCCTGCTCCCTGACTCCCACCCCACCCATTAACGTTATATCACGGGCATTTCTCCTTGTCACTGGAAACTTTACCAACTTCATCTGAATTATAATAATTCACCATTTCAATTTACTTAATTTTTCTTCAAGGTGCAAAGGTCTCCAGGTCCTAATGGGCTGCCCACAGGTGTTTTCATGACCATTTGTGATAACCTTTCTGAGGGCAGTTCCCTGCCTTATTCCCATCTCAACTCCATGGAGGGATGCCCCACACCAGAATGAATCCAGTTTAGAGTGAATCCAGTCCCAGGCCCTGAAGTGACAGAGGTGCAAAGGAACAGATCCAGACCAAGCTTTGCCTTCCATGTCCCTTGAGTCTTCTCAGCTGAAAAAGGAAGCCACAGAAACAAATCCCTCAGCAATTTTTAAAAAGGCTTTAGAAACAGCTCTTTTCCTTAAGCTGTGATGCACACGGAACAGTGGGAAAGTTAAGAGCAGGAAGAATACTAGGAGGAGGAGGAAATGGCAGCCCCACCCAACTCAGGAGGGAAAGAAAGTTTCTGGTCAGATGACAGTAAATGCCCAGAGAGGCTATAAAGTCTAGAATCTTTATACAGATTAGTTGAAGGGCCCTGGCTGACAGAAGAAGGAGGAAGATGAATCAAGGTGAGTACTGGGAACGTAACTTTTCTGAGGTGCTAAATCAAGAGAGGAGAGATACACGGAGAGGGTAGAGGTGAACAGGAAAGACAGGTGGGCCTAAGTTGATGTTGATAGTCCACTGTATAATGTGGCTCCTTTCTCCCATTTCTTTACCTTAATTCAGACCTCAGGGCACAAAGCATACAGTCATTCTTTTTCTTATGAATGGATTCAGTTTGTACCTGAAGCAGTGGGCAATCTTTTCTTTAACGTCTAGGACTGGAATGACCTTGAAAAGTCTGAGGGGGCTCACAAGGACCTTGACTTTTACCCCTTGGTGCCCTTGGTGCTTGAGAGGCCACTTCTGTGGCTAACCCTGGACCTGTGGGAGCATCACTTCTCCGATCCCAGGCCTTTCTCCCGACTCTCAGCTCCCCTTAGAATCACTGCTGCCCTGCTGCTGGGAGTGAGAAAAACAGGGAGGGCAGCCTGACAGACACATGGGGTCAGCGGGGAGAGGGCGCTAAACGTGGATTACAGGTTTTTAAAATTTGCATTGTAAATTATACATCACAGAAAAACAAAATAAATGAACAAGCAAAACAGAAACAAACTCCTAGGTATATGGAACAAACTGATGGGTTGCCAGATGGGAAGCGGGGTTGGGGGTTAAGTGAAAAAGGTGAAGGGATTGAGATGTACAAACTGGCAGTTACACAATGGCCACAGGGCTGTCAAGTACAGCACAAGGAATGCAGTCGGCAGTACTGTGATAACTGTGTATGGTGTCAGATGGGTACTAGATTTATTGTGGGGATCACTTTGTAAGTTACATAAATTTCTAACCACTATGCTGTACACCTGAAAATAATATAATATTGAAGGTCAACTGTAGTTGAAAAATAAAAAATATTTTAATAAAAAATAAACTATATATCATAGAAATTGTTAGAATTTGAGATGTACATTGTATTTCAACATAAGGCAGAGTTTGATAGAGAAGGCTAAAGAGGTTTGTTCATGTGCTAGATTCCAGGGTCTTTTTGTACTAAATTCTAGGGTATTTTTTCACTTCAGTTATCCCAAATTACAGTAAGCCTAAAATGTTATAGTACCTTCTAAAATACCATACTTTAATTAAATAAATAATACACAAAATACATGTTATAAAAAGTTAAAAGTTCATATATTAGGATTAAGAAAAAGCCCCAATCCCTCTTCACATACATATGTATTCCCAATCTGATTTTTCCTCATAGGAAAGAACTGTTAACAATTTAGTTAACTGCTTCCAAATAACACTAGATTATATACAATTATTTGTTTTATATAATGAGATTATATAACACATATTGTCTGGTGACTTGCTTTTAAAAAACAAAATCTTATATCTTGGACATCTTTTTCTTATGGCAATTTTTAAAAATTATTTATTTATTTATTTTTAGAGAGAGGGAAAGAGAGAAAGAGAGGGAGAGAAACATCAATGTGCTAGAGCAACATAAATTGGCTGCCTCTCTCACACCCCCAATCAGGGACCTGGCCCACAACCCAGGCATGTGCCCTGTGAATCGAACCTTTCAGCTTGTAGGCTGGCACTCAACCCACTGAGCCACACCAGCCAAGGATGTCTTGGAAATCTTTGCATGCAATACGAAGATTTGAAATGAATTATAGGTTTCAATTTGGGGCAAACAAGCACAATGTAGTTAATACATTTATTAATTTAATTTATTTATTTGCTTTGTTCATGGACATTTAGATTGTTTTAAATATTTTGCCCTTATAAATAATGCTGCAGTGAATGTCCCTGTTGACATAGCTTTGCACATGTGTGCAAATGTTTTTTATCCGAAAGTTTTTTAAGAGAACTGTTGGATCAAAAACAATATTCACTGGGAGTTACGATGGATATTGTAGGGGAGGGAAAATTTAATTTTTCCCCCCACCAGTGACATTCATTGGCTGAGGACCTCCAAATTAAACTGATAGGAGACTAACAAGGGAAAAACAAATGAAATTTATTAACATGTGTATTGCATATACACATGGGAGCACTCAGTGACGAGTAACTCAAAAGAGTGGTTAGAACTTGGCCTTATATAGCATCTTAACAAAGGATCAATGAATTTTTTGAGAAGTGAAAGACAAAGGAAAAGGACTGAGTGTTTAGGGCAACAAATTGCAGAAAGGTAAACATTGGGGAAGCTAATGAAAGACAAAGGCTAGTTAATAGGTTGTTATGTGGATTCTTCTGGTGCTTCTCTGGGCTGATGGGGCCCAGAGCTCTCTCCAGGCTCCATTAGAGAGGAGAGGGAGGACTTGTTTACAGATATATATCCTGCTTTGAAGCCAATGGGGGGAGGTCAAAAAGACTTTCTTTTATCTGCTTCTTTGCACGTGCCTTCAGCTCAAAATAATCTTTATGCCAAAGTGGCATATTTTGGGATGACATATTCTGCTACCCTTCGATATCAAACAATTTCTCTGAAAAGTCTGGGTGAATTTACACTCCTACCATATGAGATAGTCTATTTCCATATGCCCTCATAAAATAAGTTATGGGTATTCTTTTAAATGTTTTTGAATGAGTCAAAGATGGGATCTCATTGTTTTAGTTTTCATTTCTCTGATTACAGCAAGACTTAATATTTATAGAAACTTTAATATATTGTGGATTGTAATCCAGGGCTGTATTTCCTGCCAAAGACCTAATGATTTCACTTGTGCGGCCAGCTAGGAACACAACAGCTGCTTCCTCTTGGCAGCAGCTGTTTGCTGAGTGCTGGGTGTATGCAAGCAAACAGTGTAGTTAACTATGTAGACACCATTAACTGAAAACAATGTTTCAAAGAAACAACATATCTGTTGGTGATTAATTGACAAATAAGTGGTTTAGAGTCTAAGAAATTGCAGTGCAGGGGGAGAGGCCAGGTAGGTCCTGGAGCTGGTTCTGCCTGGACAGGCTGGTGTTTTAGGACAAGGTGGTGAAGATGGGACTGTGGTTTTCATTGTGTTCTTTGGAACTCTAGGGCTCTACAGAGAAACCAGGGGACCCCTCTCTAGTTCTTCCACCAGAGCAGCTCCTCTAAGGCCTGCCTATTACATTTTCTTTGGAATAAACCATGATATTCATTTACTTGGAAAGAAAGAGGCGGGGGGCCTCAGAGCAGGCATACAGGCGAGAAGAGTCAGGTTCTGGAATCAAATTGTCCAGATATAAGTGACAATTTTGCCAAATACTAGGTAGGTGACACTGGGAAATTTAGCCTCATCGATCCTCTGTCTGCTCATCTGTAATATGGAGTTAACACCTTCTTGGGTATTTGCAGGAATACGAGATAATGCATATAAATCCTGGAATTTAATAATACTTAGTAAATATTAGCTAGATATAAAACTATTGTAACAGGTGGTAAGATACCTCCATATTCTGAATTGTTTGGGAAGGATTTCATGGAGCAGGTGGATGCTGAGTTGTCCTTGAAGAATGGTTACAGTGGGGACACATAGAAATTGGGGAATGGCAGGGACCATCCAGAGGTAGAGCTGGGCACAATCTATTTGGAGGCAACAAGTGAAGCAGAGTTTATTTATGGCTATTGGGAGATAAGATGTTGGGATTGCACTGTAGAGGGCTTTGAACACTTGCTGAAAGAATTTGGACTTGAACCTTTAGATAATAAAGCATTCTTACTCTTGTACACTTAAAGAGGCACAGAAATGCTGCAATATCTCATCACATAAGAACCTCCCTGTTCTCACACAGATGGGCCCTTTCACATTTTTTAAAAGGGAAGAAATGAAAAAAAAAAAAGTATTTATCAAAGTCCCAAACTGGCAATAATAATGAGTAGTAGAAAAAGAAAAGACATTGGCCAAGAAACTGGACAAATCTAGGGACAAAGTCAGGAGAAGAAAGGAGCTGAGTCCACCTGACCTTGGCAGCAGGCACGATCTCTCTGCACTGGCTGTGCTGGGTATAACTTACCCTCCGCCATCTTTGCCTGGAGGTTTCCAGTTCTTCTCCAGTAGCCTGACTGCTCAGGACATTGTTGGCAGTGGATTCTTTTAATCTGCCCCAGTCTTTTTCCAAACTAGCTGTTTGTTAGCCTGCCACATGCCCACAGATGCCAGTCCCTCACACACCTTTGTTTAAGTCCTCATTAGCCTTTTGTCTCAGATGATTGCAGCAGACACTCACTGCCCTTCCCATGCTGATCTTTTTCACCCTCCAGTCTGGGCTACATACCACAGCCAGATTAATTCAGAAGGACAGCTTTGATCATGTCACTCCTGCTCAGAAATCTGCCTTTAATGAAAGTAACACTTTCCCTTAAATACAAAAAGAGTACATGTTTAAGCAGAAGCTTGGACAACCCCAAAAAACTCAAAGGAAAGATAAATTTCCCACAAATTTCACCATCTAAAGATAATCTGTAACATATGGTGTTTTTATTTTTTTATGTTCCTTTTATTATTTCATGAATTATTTTCCCATATTCTTTGTCCTTTTTTAAAGTATATTTTATTGATTATGCTATTACAGTTTTCCCAATTTTTCCCCTTTTATCCCCCCTCCACTCTGTACCCCTCAACCCTCCAGTATTCCCCTCCCCCTTAGTTCATCTCCATAGGTTGTACATATAAGTTCTTTGAATTCTCTGTTTCCTATACCATTTTGACCTCTCCCTGTCTATTCTATGCCTACCAATTATGCTTATTCCCTGTACATTCCCCCCATTTTTCCCTTCCACTCCCCACTGAAAATCCTCCATATGAATGTCGATTTCTCTGATTCTGTTCCTGTTCTAGTTGTTTGCTTAGTTTTTGTTTTCATAGTTTTTCTTTTTTTTTTTCTTGGTTTGGTTGTTGATAGTTGTGAGTTTGTTGTCATTTTACTGTTCATAGTTTTTGATCTTCTTCAATTTCTTAGATAAGTTCCTTTAACATGTCATATAATAAGGGCTGGGTGATGATGAAATCCTTTAACTTGACCTTATCTGGGAAGCACTTTATCTACC